CCCCAACTCCCCCCTTTTTTCCCCTCAAAATTTTATTTTAAACCCTCACCCTTCATAAACCCATCCGCCGCCCACGTCAACTCCCAATTTATCTGAAAAAAATTACTTTTTCCATACCCTCCCCCCCCAATTTTTGATATCCAATTTTTTTTTTATCAAAAACATTTGACCCCCATCACCTTACTTTTTCTAGGTTCACTTTAAACTTTCTCCCTTTAACCACATTCCCAAAACTTCCACTAACCTTTGAAATTTTTTTCTTTAGAATCCCCCATAACCCACAGAAATCATCAGCAAAAAAGTAACTGTGTCAATTCCCATTTTGAATTTGATTCCCCAAAAATTTAATCCCCCCCCTCTCCCAAACACCCTGCTTTTTACTTCCTTTAAACCCCCCATTATAAATTTATTAAAAAAACCATGGTGAATTACACATCCCTGTCAAAACCCTATTTTTTTCCCGGGGAAGTAGTCTCCCTCTTTCTACACCCCCTAACCTAGCCTCACTACCCCCATAAAAACTCTTTCCCAGCTTTTAAAATAACTTACCCCCTTTTTTCCATATCTTGCAACATCTCCCACATTGCTCCTCAACCCCACTCTATCATATGCCTTTTCAAAATCCATAAATGAAAATAAAAACTCCCATTTTTATCTAAATACTGTTCACAATATGCTTAAATGAAAACCCCTGATTACACACCCCCCAAACCCACTCAAAAAACCCCCTTTGCTCATCCGAAATTTCCTACATTCTGTCTTCCCCTTATTTTTTTAAAATTTAACCCCCAAAACCGTACACTTTTCCTGGTTTACTCAGTAAGCTTTTTCCCTTTTTAAAAATTTTTACGTCTCTTTTTGTCCCCTTTCCCTTTTTTATAAAGGGCTTTTAAAATGCTCCCCGGGCCAATCCCTAGGTACCTTCCCCTCCCCCCCCCAATACATTTTTTAAAACAAAGTCCCCAACCCAAACTCCAACACTAACCCCCCCCTGTTTTTTTAAACTTTTCCCTGTCAGGGTTTCCCATCAGTTCCAGCTCTTTACCCCCTTTCATTTTACGAAATTTGCCTCCCCCCCAACCCGTTTTTTAAAAACCTCCCCCACATTAAATTCTCCCTCTTTTTTTTCCCCCCGGGGGGGCCCCCCGGGGGGGGGGGGGGGGGGGGCGAAAATGTTGGTTTCTTTTAAATTTAAAAAGGGTTTAAAAATAGCCATTTTCCCCAATCCCTCCACCCCCCAAATTTTTAACTAAACTCCCCTATTTCTTTTTTTAAACCCTTGAAAAACCCAAAAATTTTTCCCTAGGCTTTCTTAACTTTTTTAAACCCTCCTCCAAATTTTTTTCTTTTTTTCTTTTTAAAATTTTTTGACGGGCCCTCTCCCACTCTATTTCTCTTCCCCCCTTTTTTGGGGCCCCTCCCCTAAACCACTTCTTTACCTTTTTTTACTCTCCTATACTTGCTTTTCTTATAAAATTTCTCTTTGTAAAAACCTTCTTTAAGTTTCCCTTTTTTTCTCTTTTATCACCCCCTTTAAACTTCTATTCCCCCAATCATCCTCTTTCCTCCTGCCCCCACCCTCCTAAAAACCAAAAAAACTTCTCCCCCCACATTCTAATACTGCATTTTAAAACTTTTTCCAACCCCCCTTCAACCCCCCCTCTTTGCAATAGCCCACCTTTCCCCAAATTTTTTTAAAAAAATTTTCCCCCTTTTTTTTCCCCTTTTTTTTTTTTTCCCCCCCCCCCTTTTTTCCCCCCCTTTTTCTAAATTTTTCCCCAAAAAAAAACCCCAAAAAAATTTTCCCCCCCCCCCTTTTAAAAGGAAATACCCCCCCAAACCCCCTTTTAAAAAAAAAATTTTTAAAAACTTTTTTCCCCCCAAATTTTTTTTTTTTTATCCCTTTTTATTTAAAAAATTTTTTTAAATTTCCTTTTTTTTTTAAAAAAATTTTTTCCCTTTCCCCCCCCCCAAATTTCCCCAAACCCTTTTTCCCCCTTTTTTTAAACCCCTTTCCTTAAAAAACCCCCAAAAAACCCCAACCCCAAACCCCCAAAAATTTTTTTTTTTCCCCTTTTTTCCAAATTTTTCCCTTTTTTCCCTTTTTTTTAATTTTTAAAAACCCCCCCAATTTAAACCTTTATTTTCTTTTTTTTTTTTCCCCAAATTTTTCCCCCCCTTTTTTTTTTTAAACCCCCCAAACCCCCCCTTTTGGGGCCCCCCCCCCCCCCTTTTTTTTAAACCCCCCCCCCCTTTTTAAAAACCCCCCCCCCCCCCTCCCCTTTTTTTTCCCCCCCTTTTTTTTCCCCCCCTTTTTTAAAAAACCCCCCCCCCCTTTTTTTTTTTTTTTTAAAAAATTTTTTCCCCCCCCCTTTTTTAATTTTTTCCCCTTTTTAAAAAAAAATTTTTTTTTTTAAAAAAAACCCCCCCTTTTTAAAAAAAAAAACCCTTTTTTTTTTTTTTTTTTTTTGGTTTTAAAATTTAAAATTTTTTAAAAACATTCCCTTTTTTTTCCCCTTTTTTTTTAAAAAAAAAAAAAAATTTCCCCCCCTTTAAAAAAAAAACCCCCCCCCCCCCCCCCCCCTTTTTCTTTTTAAAAAAAAAAAATTTTTTTTTTTAAATTTTTTAAAAAATTTTTAAAATTTTTTTTTTTTTTTTTTAAATTTTTTTTTAAAAAAAAAAAAAACCCCCAATTTTTTTTAAAAACCCCCCCCAGGGTAAAAAAAAAAAATTTTTTTTTTAAAAAAAATTTTTTTTAAAACCCCCCTCCCCAAACCCTTTCCTTTTTTTCCAAACCCCCAAAAATTTTAAAAAAAAAAAAAAAACCCCCCCCCAAAAAAAATTTTTCCCGGGAAACCCCCCCCCCCCAACCCCCCCCCTTTTTTTTTTTAAAAAACCCTTTTTTAAAAAAAAAATTTCCCCCCCAAAAAACCCCCCCCCAAAAATTTTAAAATTTTTTTCCTAAAAAAAAAAAACCCCCCCTTTTTTTTTAAACCCCCCAAAAAACCCCTTTTTCCCCCCTTTTAATTTTTTTTCCCCCCCCCTTTTTTCCCCCCAAATTTTTCTTTTAAAAATTTTTTTTAAACCCCCCCCCTTTAAAAAACCCCCCCCCTTTTAAAATTTTTTTTTCCCCCTTTTTTAAAAGGTTTTTTTCCCCCCCTTAAACCCCCCCCCTTTTTTTTTTAAAAAAAAAATTTTTTTAAAAAAATTTTAAAAAAAAATTTTTTTTAACCCTTTTTTTTTCCAAAAAACCGGGTTGTTTTAAATATTGGGAGGAGTGTATTCCCTGTTTTAGTAAAAATAGGGGGGTTTAAATTTATATTTATAAAAAAAAATAAATAATATTAAAAAATCACAGGTCTTCGTTTACATCACTTGCAGACGTAGTACCTCCCTGGTGGTTGCTGTCTACCAACCTATATACACACACACACATATTTTTTAACAAGTCAGCCATCTCCCACCGAGGCAGGGTGACCCAAAAAAAGAAAGAAAATCTCCAAAAAGAAAATACTTTCATCATTCAAAACTTTCACCTCACTCATACATAATCACTGTTTTTGCAGAGGTGCTCAGAACACAACAGCTTAGAAGCATATACCTATAAAGATACACAACATATCCCTCCAAACTGCTAAAATCCCGAACCCCTCCTTTAGAGTGCAGGCATTGTACTTCCCATTTCCAGGACTCAAGTCTGGCTATATAAAAATAACCGGTTTCCCTGAATCCCTTCACTAAATATTACCCTGCTCACACTCCAACAGATCGTCAGGTCCCAAATACCATTGGTTTCCATTCACTCCTATCTAACACGCTCACGCATGCCTGCTGGAAGTCCAAGCACCTCGCACACAAAACCTCCCTTACCCGCTCCTTCCAACCTTTTTGAGGACGACGCCTACCCCACCTTCCTTCCCGTACAGATTTATACGCTCTCCATGTCATTCTACTTTGATCCATTCTCTTTAAATGACAAAACCACCTCAACAACCCCTCTTCAGCCCTCTGACTAATACTTTTATTAACTCCACACATCCTAATTTCCACACTCCGAATTTTCTGCATAATACACCTACCATCCGACTTACGACGTGCTCGACTTACGACCACTCGACTTACGACCGTGTTTTTTATGCCAAATTTCTGGGAAATAAACAACTATTTGTGTTGTACACAGTGTTTATCCTAAACCTTACAGTATAAAATACAGTACTAACAACATAAAAAGTAAAGTAAAACATGAAATACCAAAATAAAACAATAAAATAAAGTCATTACAAAAATGTTTTGTTGATATTCAGTAGTAAAGTTCGACTTGCGACCATTTCGACTTACGACCGGTTTCTCGGAACGGAACTCGGTCGTAAGTTGGATGGTAGGTGTATTTACACCACACATTGCCCATTAGACAGGACATCTCCACTGCCTCCAACCGCCTCCTCGCTGCAGCATTTACAACCCAATCATCACACCATATAAGAGTGTTGGTACTACTATACTTTCATACATTCCCTTCTTTGCCTCCATGGGTAACACTTTTTGCCTCCACATGTACCTCAACGCACCACTCACCTTTTTTCCTTCATCAATTCTATGAATAAACTCATCCTTCATAAATACATCCGCTGACATGTCAACTCCCAAACATCTGAAAACATTCACTTCTTCCGTACTCCTCCTCCCCAATTTGATATCCAATTTTTCTTTATCTAAATCATTTGATACCCTCATCACCTTACTCTTTTCTATGTTCTCTTTCAACTTTCTATCTTTACACACACACTCCCAAATTCGTCCACTAACCTTTGCAATTTTTCCTTAGAATCTCCCATAAGCACAGTATCATCAGCAAAAAGTAACTGTGTCACTTCCCATTTTGTATTTAATTCCCCATAATTTAATATATAGAATTGTGTACTTAAATTCTAGCACCTCTGCATTTGTGAGAGTTATTGTTAATAAAAATATTATTGAAACTATAAATGTTGTGTACCCACCTCATTAAACTTTCCCTTAATCTTCTGGTTATTTCGAGCCATATCTGGAGGCAAGTCTTTCCCTTGGTCTCTTAGAGAATAAAATTCACATTGCATCATATCAAAGAAGATAGGAATGGTGGCTCTGCGAAGTTCCACATCAGGCAACATCGTCATCTTGAGGAATGGACCAACCATACACAGTTTGCTATCTGATCCTGCGACAAATCTTATCTTGTGTTGACCTGCAGGAGGGAGAGTAATATACTATGTATTTCTGAGATGATAGAGTAGGCGAGGCACTGTAAAGAAATTTTGCAGAAAATGAGAAATAATTCTGAAATGAGATAAACAAGTTAAGAAAGCCGAGGGAAAGAATGGATTTGTCAGTTAAAACAGAGTAGGAGAGTTAGTTGATGGGGACCTGGAAGTATTGGGTAGATGGCAGGAATATTTTGAGGAACTTTCAAATGTTGGTGAAGAAAGGGAGTAGGTAATTTCAAGCACTGGAGTGGAAAAAAAAAAATTTATGAAAGAGAGGAAGGTACCTAGGGATTGGCAGAGAGCATGTATAGTTCCTCTATGTAAAGGAAGGGGGACAAAAGAGCTTGTAAAAATTACAGGGGAATGAGTTTACTGAGTATACCAGGAAAAGTGTACGGTAGGGTTATTATTGAAAGAATTAGAGGTAAGACAGAGAGTAGGATTGCAGATGAGCAAGGAGGCTTTAGAGTGGGTAGGGGATGTGTAGATCAAGTGTTTACAATGAAGCATGTCTGTGAACAGTATTTAGATAAAGGAGGCAGTAGAGATGTCCTGTCTAAGGGGAATGTGTGGTGTAAATATTATACAGAGAATTCGGAGTGTGGAAATTAGAAGGAGGTGTGGAATTACTAAAAGTATTAGTCAGAGGGCTGAAGAGGGGTTATTGAGGTGGTTTGGTAATTTAGAGAGAATGGATCAAAGTAGAATGACTTGGAGAGCATATAAATCTGTAGGGAAAGGAAGGCGGGGTAGGGGTCGTCCTCGAAAAGGTTGGAGTGAGGTGGTAAAGGAGATTTTGTGGGCGAGGGGCTAGGAATTCCAGCAAGCATGTGTGAGCGTGTTAGGAGTGAATGGAGACGAATGGCTTTTGGGACCTGATGAGCTGTTGGAGTGTGAGCATGGTAATATTTAGTGAAGGGATTCAGGGAAACCAGTTATTTTTATATAGCCGAACTTGAGTACTGGAAATGGGAAGTACAATGACTGCATTTTAAAGGAGGGGTTTAGGATATTGGCAGTTTGGAGGGGTATGTTATATATGCTCCTAAACTTTTGTATCTGGGTGCCTCTGCAAAAACAGTGATTATGTATGAGTGAGGTGATAGTGTTGAATGATGATGAAAGTATTTTCATTTTGGGGATTTTCTTTCTTTTTTGGGTCACCCTGCCTTGGTGGGAGATGACTAACTTATTGAGAAAAAAAAAATTGTAGATACAGAACCAGTTATGAAACCCAAGAAAATTGTTGGTAATTCCTCATTTAGGTCTCAAAATATTTAATCCCAAATAACTGAAAAGAATATTAAATAACAGGGGTAGTTACCTAAACTGAACCACAAGCTCTTAACTTCCAAGGCAGTTTCTCGACGCATATCACCATATCGATGAAGAATTTTGTTTCTCTTGCTTTGTGTAAAATTTTCCAACTGCAAAGAAGGCTGAACAATAAAAGACAAATTAGTTCGTTAACAGGAAAAAATAATTAATATTCTTTACATGCATCATAATATTATGCATAATGATAAAATTAATTTATTTTGTTGTATGAATGTCTAATATAAATTTTATTGCAATAATTCTTCATAAACATACTCCACTTAATTTGAGCCACTTTACACAAAGAAAGTTTTTGCTCAAAAGGTGAATATGAAAATACAAATTCAGTACAGGATGAATACTGAGTACTTGCCTTACTCTATATCTGCCACATTATTTATATCTTTAACTGCCTTTCAATATTATTCTCTGTCTCTCTAAATGCTGGTAACTGATCTTATTCCCCATTCATATACAGGTCCCTCTTCAGTATTCAAAGACAATTTTGAGAATTTTTTTTTTAACACAATGGCCATTTCCAACCAGAAATGCTTTCATAGTTTTTTTTCTTTTTACATTTAATAATTTATACAGGAGAGGGGGTTACTAACTCCCTGCTCCCTGCATTTTAGTCGCCTCTTACAACACGCATGGCTTACGGAGAAAGACTTCTTCCCTACTTCCCCATGAAGAATTTTGAGAAATACAATACAGTCTCTCCTCACTTAGTGATGTACTCGTTTCCCAACCACTCAGAGTTACGACCGGCTCTTCAACCAGTATGCAAACCTTAGAGCTGATTTCCTCTATTCTATTTATTACAGTACAGCCTCTCCTCACTTAGTGACATACTCGTTTACTGATGTTCAGACTTACAACGGGGCTCTCTGACCAGTATGCATACCTAAATAATGTATGATAAATTAGACACATGTGCAAGTCTTGGGTATCTTTATTGAGGAAACGTTTCACCACTCAGTGGCTTCATCAGTCCATACGTAGGAGAAACTTGAAGAACAGGAGTAGAATGAGGTAATCAGTCCCTCAACCTTGAGTCGATGTGTTCAGTCCACCAATCTTGAATAGAATACGGCATATGAGCAGAGAAGCAGCTTATAAACCGTATGGCAGGAGAGGTGCAGCAGTCATAGGTGGTGTCACATTTGTTCAATGTGGAAGTAGGTCGTGCCCAAGAATTAGGCAAGCGAAGAATTCTTCGCTTGCCTAATTCTTGGGCACGACCTACTTCCACATTGAACAAATGTGACACCACCTATGACTGCTGCACCTCTCCTGCCATACGGTTTATAAGCTGCTTCTCCGCTCATATGCCGTATTCTATTCAAGATTGATGGACTGAACACATCGACTCAAGGTTGAGGGACTGATTACCTCATTCTACTCCTGTTCTTCAAGTTTCTCCCATGTATGGACTGATGAAGCCACTGAGTGGCGAAACGTTTCCTCAATAAAGATACCCAAGACTTGCACATGTGTCTAATTTATCAACATGTCGGTTCTCTGAACCATTCATCTACAAACCTGTCAGACACTGCAACTTCTTGGGATCTTAATACTTAGGAATTCTTCGCTTGCCTAATTCTTGGGCACGACCTACTTCCACATTGAACAAATGTGACACCACCTATGACTGCTGCACCTCTCCTGCCATACGGTTTATAAGCTGCTTCTCCGCTCATATGCCGTATTCTATTCAAGATTGATGGACTGAACACATCGACTCAAGGTTGAGGGACTGATTACCTCATTCTACTCCTGTTCTTCAAGTTTCTCCCATGTATGGACTGATGAAGCCACTGAGTGGCGAAACGTTTCCTCAATAAAGATACCCAAGACTTGCACATGTGTCTAATTTATCAACATGTCGGTTCTCTGAACCATTCATCTACAAACCTGTCAGACACTGCAACTTCTTGGGATCTTAATACTTAGGAATTCTTCGCTTGCCTAATTCTTGGGCACGACCTACTTCCACACTGAACAAATGTGACACCACCTATGACTGCTGCACCTCTCCTGCCATACGGTTTATAAGCTGCTTCTCCGCTCATATGCCGTATTCTATTCAAGATTGATGGACTGAACACATCGGCTCAAGGTTGAGGGACTGATTACCTCATTCTACTCCTGTTCTTCAAGTTTCTCCTACGTATGGACTGATGAAGCCACTGAGTGGCGAAACGTTTCCTCAATAAAGATACCCAAGACTTGCACATGTGTCTAATTTATCAACATGTCGGTTCTCTGAACCATTCATCTATAAATAATGTATGTTAGAGCTGATATCCTCTATTCTGTTTATTACAATATACAGTACATCTTCTCCTCACTTAACTGAGTTCTGTTCCTAAGACCACGTCGGTAAACGAACTTGTTGCTAAATGAGGAGCATACTATAATGGTAGTGGGTTTGTGTCGACTATCTTTGATATTGTTTCAATGTCACCTTTGCACCATTTATAACAATTTTGGTATACTTTTAAATGATTATACAGTAGTGTACTGTATATTGTAATAAACAGAATAGAGGAAATCAGCTCTAACATACATTATTTAGGTATGCATACTGGTCAGGGAGTTGTCGGTAAACAAGTACATTGCTAAGTGAGGAGAGGCTGTACACTACTGTATACATTTAAAAATATACCAGAAATGTTATAAATGGTGAAAAGGTGACATTTAAACAATATCAAAGCTGGTTGACAGAAACTCACTACCATTATAGTATGCTTCTTACTTTGCGAAGGATTCGTTTACAGGTGTGGTCTTAGGAATGGAACTCCGTCATTAAGTGAGGAGAGGCTGTATACAGTACACTACTGTACAAAAATTTAAAAATATACTAGAAATGTTATAAATGGTGCAAAGATGACATTAAAATAATACCTAAAGATGGTTGACATAAACCCACTACCAGTACAGTATGCTCCTCGCTTAACAACCAATTCACTTACCGACCTACTCTTAGAAATAGAACCCCACTGTTAAGTGAGGAGAGGCTGTACCTTAAAACTCAATCAAGACTTACAAGCTTAGCCACAAAGCTTCCTACAGCTTACAGAAGGATATACAACTGATTTAATTTATAACATTCATTGCTTACTTTTCATGCCAAAATGCACCATAAATTAATAACCAACTTTATTTAAATATTACCAAAGAAACATGCCCCTGTGGCCTGAATCCTACTTACCTTATATTTACTTGTTTTCTAGCAAGCACTAAATCCACAGGGATCATACTGAGCCTTGGGCAATGCAAGGTAACCAGGCTCAATCCAAGGAAAAAGTGTAGCTCCAATTCTCTGGATCAAGAGTCCTTCACCTTGAAGGGTATTCACCCTATAAGGCATTATATACAGTACATTTTCTTTAACACAATAGCTATCTTCCACCAATGTCTACTCATTTTTACAATCCTACACATTCACATTCCCTTTTTTCAGCTTTTAGGTAAATAGGCCTAAATTACTGCATGCTTCATTATGTTACCTGTGTAATGAAATTGATGGCACAATGAAAGAAGCTCCTCCAAACACTTTCTTGAAAAGGCTCAAGCATTCTTCCTGAAATTATTCGTGAACACTGACGCAACACCTTCACGATTACACTGCAAGAGAATATGATATGGTAAGAGAAATCTTCAACAACTAAATAGGAACTAGCTACATTACAGTAATTGAAGGATGCAGTCCCACACTCCTATCATACATCTCATGAAACATATACAGTACCAGAAAAATGGAAGATAATCAGGTTTGATCCTAGGAAGGAGAGGGGTAGCTCCAAATCTTTAGATCAAGAGCTCTTCACCAGCAAGGCAATTCCTTGAAGGGACACAATTTTATACAATAATCTTTAAAAAAAATGTTGGAGGCTGGGATTAAACAGAATGTAACTATGTTGAAATATGGTTGAATGTGATGCGATGAATACACTCTTTAAGCTCTAGTTACTCCCAAACAAGATGTCGGCACATTTCAAACGTGTTCTTTCAAAAATATAAATTCTACGAAGAATAGAAATTTTATGGACAACAAAGGAATTCTACTTTTAAATAAACTAAGCTATCACATACTGGTAAACATATCAAAGACAATGAGAGAAATGGAAAACTTGGAGAAGGCCACATGATAAATTCAGACTGACCTGTTCTCTAGGAGAATCATCTCTGCCCAATCTGCAGGAAACACAGGATCTTTTACAAGGTTCTCCACCACCATCAGAAGCTCTAGTAAGAAGTTACAGAGCTGTTCCAAGATTTGAAATTGGCAAAAAAAGTTCTCAAAGTGCAGTCTTGACATTTGCCGAAAGAGGGAAACCAGCACACTCACAAATTTGCACTGAAAGATTAACTAGAATTAAGAAATGCTTAGGAAAATAAACAATGCCTGTTCACAAAAATTTTTAAACAAAATGGTAGATAGTTGAAATACTCAAGAAAAACTTGTATGTGCTACAATCACTGAATATTAATTTTTTAACATATATAAATTGAAAAAACTAGACATTACAAGCACAACAATTATACAGACAAGTTGCTCCCAAAAAACCTAAACAATTATAAATGTTTTTGTAGAGAAAGTTTTACTGCAAAATTCAGAGGAGTCTCAGATTCTGGAGGGTAAGTTAAAAAAATTAAAATATTTTAACACTGCAATATCTGGTAGTGTATCAAAAATATAAGTTGATTTATTGTACGTACTAAGGTATGCTGACCAAACTGCTGATTGTAAAGTGGCACCTCTCCATGGAGATTACATGATGTCAACAGCACCAGTTGTAATAAAAGTACTCCATACAATGATTAGCAAGAACAGGAGATAGAGGTGAATCCACGCCACGAATAAAAATGCCTGTGATTTTGTGGGGTTAACAGTATATATTATCTATTCATACTATACAAAGAAAAAAGGAAGACAGCCACCACAAAATCACACGCCCAGCAAGAGGAACATGAAGTCACAGTTAATAACCAAGAAAAAATTATTTCTCCTGAGGACTTAGAACTCACAATTAGTGGCTCCTCTCGAGTCATCTTGAACACCGTAGAAAGAATATCTTCCAGCAGTCTGGTGGAGAGCAGACTAATGTCTTCAGAGGTATCTCCCACATCCTTAGAAAACAGCACATCCAGAATGTCTCCCAGGATTTTCACACACAAATCCAACTTGATGATGAAAGAAGAGAGTTAGTAAGAAAACACAGCTCAAGCTGTATAATTATTATCAAAATGTATCACACTACTATTTTAACTTTTATATGTCCATGACTAAAGTGTCAGAAAACAATTTGTATTAATTTCAAAATTACTGAACACAAAAGTTAGCAACAAGCAAAATAATAAGCTTATCTATTAGAAAAACAACGTGCGTTAAACAAATTATGCAAAGAAAATACTGTACTGTACATACATAAAACAACCTAAAAAAAATCACTAATGTTCCGGTTTTAAAAGAAAAATGAACATATGTGAACCAATATGAAGTTTAAGTCTACCCAGGCTCAGAGAGATGGTTTAATATGCCCTGCACCTCATGTTTCAACCACATGCCCCTCCAACAAACCATTGAAGCCAGACTTATCCCACCCAATCATTGAAAAATTATATGTAGATTTTTCTGAAGAGACTGCAGCAAGGTGAAAGATTAGTGAGATCTATATTAGTGAACCATGACACTGATTTCAGATGACTGACAGAAAATCTATACTTTAATCCCCCATACAAATATATATAGTAGAAATAAATACCAGCTATAAGTACAAGTACACCTAAAAAGAGAAAATGAAACAGAAAGTAATTTAAGTGCTGTATATTTTAAGGCCCTTTTCAGCAGTCTGCTGAAGAGAGCCTCAGTTGTAGCTTAAAATATATAATACCAGTACTCTTTTTACCTTCTGTTGGAATTTCTCCATGTGGATTTGCATATACTATAATAAAAGACTGTGGTGTTCCACTACCATAATAAACCATAAGATAACCAGTGAAAATTCACAGTTATGTTCAACTGCAGTAGTAGACTTTCTTTTGCAGGCTAAGAGTTGTTATCCTACCATAGTTCATTCCAAAGTCCAGCCCAAACTAAGAAACAGTATGCTATTACTTCGTAGGATGTGACCCACAACAATTGGCTAACACACTGGCACAGATGTTCCCTCACTTTATGCAACAAGTGAGTTCCAGCACCACTGTGAGCATATTAGAAGCTAAAAAAAAAATCTAAGGGCACTGCATTCATCCCACGCTTCACTTATTTGTTGTGAACCATATTGATTGCATAACAGTGAATTTATATTGCACACAGAAATGGTGTTGTAAAATGACATTGAATTTGCATATAACTCACCCACATAAAGCAAAGGATTACCGTACCTATTTACTGTTAGGTGAACAAGAGCAATAGGCACAAGGAAACATGCCCAACATTTTCACCCACTCTAAGATCAAACCTGGATCTTACAGTTGTAAGTCAAAGACATTACCACTGTGTCGCAAGCCACCTATTATAATGTTTGACTGTTATGATGAGTAGATATTAGTTATTTACTAATGATTCCGAGGATGACAATGAACTATGAGTGAAGAAAGACTTGAAAGCTCTGTTGTGGAACTAATGTTACAAATGACATCATTATTGCTGGAAGGAATACTCATCTGTGAAGCTGTGTGTGTGCACTTACCAAAGGTAATATAGCACAGTGATAATTACAATAAAAGTAATTAATGGAAAGAGCTATTGGTTATTGATGGAGCCAGCTAAGAGCAACTGATAGGGACAACTAAGAGTGACTGATGAGGAAATCTATGGATGATTAATAAGGTAACAATGAGGGTGATGTAATGATGAACTTCTGGTACTCAAGAACTTTACATTAACAAACAAAAGTCCTGCAGCTGCTTCAAACTATGTTACATACATCAAGGCACACCACACTAACTTGACTATACTGACATACAACAAGAGCAATGGGTAAGTTGTATTAGCCAGAATCTGTATATCTATATTATTGAAAAAGGCAATATAACAGCAGCTGGTAAATTTAGCAACTTTATACATCACTTCAACTGTGATATTAAATTAGTGAAACAAATAAGAATTAGTGGAAGGAAATCTATTAAAATTAGTACATACATTCTAGCAAATGTTAACCAGTTCTTAAAATGCTTACCACAAAATAACTGAAAATACGGGTATAAATTACAGTATTATTATTTTATATAAGCCATCATGACACACAAAACAGTTCTGTGAAAAAATTAATAATGAATTGGCTGGATTTAATTTGCATTATATTATTCATGTAAAGTGCCTGTCCTAATAAAAAAATGTAATCGTTTTCACTATAAAAAAGTCAAAGACTCAAATACAGTACTGTTTCACTTACTTTATTAGTACTTTTTCAATTTCCCATGAAAATCATTAGATGACAGTTTCCCAGGTGGTTCTTTCTATAGTAACGTATACACAATACCACTTGCTTCATTGTTTTATCCACCCCAAGATTATCTTTAGAATTCCCAAAATACTTATTCCATTACTCTCTCAATTCCCTTCTTCCCTCCCTCTCTCTTTCTCTCTCTCTTTGATGCACCTCTGTCTTGACCTCTTTCTTTCCTTCTACTTTCCAGCATGTATATGTGTTCATACATACATGAATGCACACATGCATGCATGCATATATGTATACACTTACATATTTTACGAATTTTTTAGCTGTCAAAAGTAAATTTTTATTTTTTATATATTTTTAATTTCACGCATACAAGAGGCAGCTGATTCACCCTGATTTACCTGCATAGAAGCCAAATTTGTCAGTGCAATTCTTCAGAAAAAAATTCAAGTATTTGCACATTCTAAGAATTTTTTTTTTTAGCCTCTAAGGAGATATTTGCATCTAATTTTATAAATTTGATATGGCATCATACATGAAATAATGACCAAGTGTGCATAATTCACAAAGGTACCTCACAAGCTACTTTACACACTCAGGGGACCTAACTTTACCAAACTAGAAGAGTAACAAGACTATGAACAGAAATGTTAATGCAAGATAGATGGATAAATATATGGGCAGATATAAAATAAAAAACAAACCGAATGGGCCTAAATAACAATTTAAATCTGATATTAAACTTTAAGCATATGACATGCTTACAATATCTCTTAAGTGATTGCTTAAAAGGAAATGTGAACATTTATAAGATTTTCACCTGATATGCTATCATCACCATCACAAACTTTATCATACACTGACACTGATAAAAAGATTTTCCCATTATGCAAAGCAACTCATAATCCCAAGACATGAGCTGTAAAGCAGATTTAATATGCATCACATGATACAATAAAAATCAACCTCTAAATGAACTCAACTCCAAAACACGGACATCGTCAACTATACTCTTACCCTATACATGTACTGTACTGTATTTTTTCTTAATAGGATACCGATCTGTGTGCCTCCTCACCTCTTCTGTGATGGTGCGATCTTCAGGCAACTGAGCAGCGTTGTCCAGATCCAGCAGTTTTTTTAGTTTGGACTTTTTTCTCTCCTTTCTCATTACAACCTCAAGATCTGTCATCTGAGGAAGGTACAAGGTAATGTGGTGGTGGAGGGTGTGGGTCAAGGTAGTGGCAGGGGTAGGGTCAAGGTTGGATACATTAGGTGAGTTGCAGTATAAAAGCAATTAAGAGACTTTCACACTAGTAGACAGGGCAATTTTTAAATAAAATTGATGAAATACCATGAGAAAATAGATGTAAGCATTGGTAATCCAGCAATTAAGCAGCAGTGGAATAAGTATGAAAAACTGAAAAGTACTTGAAACAGTTTAAAAAGAGAAAAATAAATAATAAAAAAAAAAGGATACATATGTTGAAAACTAATATTTTTGTGCAATTACTGTATATATTTATTGTTAGAGGAGCACATAATTATTTAAAAAAATTGCATAATTGCATGCGTGCACAGCCTCCACGAGTTCAATTCACTCGTCAAGTCAATTTCTTCAATTTCAGATTATCCTCTATTCCTGTTAATTCTAAAATAACTGATTTTTGTTTTTTTGTTTTCACAGCAGCTTATGAACTCATCTGTAATTATAATCTCCTCTGTCTTCTAAGAAAGGTAAATCTTGCTTCTACTATTTATTTCTCGAAGTTTCTTTCTTCTGTCCTCCTTTGAATCTGGGTTGGCACTTTTCTCTATTGATTCCATGTCTGTGTCTTTTCATGGCTCTCCATCACCAGCCTCTTAAACTGTTTTAACTGCAGTGTCCTTTGCTCCTTTTTGAAATAAACTATCTAATCCCACTTTCATGGAGTGTATTGCAAAACCCTCCACATAATTTAGGTATATCTGTCCACTGTTACATTCTACTTTGCTTCTCTAAAAACTTGTTTTAACTCCACATATTTTCTTTTCTTAATAGTCCTGTTTGTGTTTTTCTTTTTTCCCCTCTTCCATATGTTACTTGTAATAGAGTATGGTCACTTTTAAAATATGTTTAGAAGCTGACCTTTAGACCTTTTTTCATTCACGAATATACAACACTAAGTTTAATACAGATGATGTGTTGTCTTCTATCACATGCATTTCTTTAATTTAACTGAATCCAACTTCCTTTGCCTTCAGATGAGCCGAACACCAAGGCAGGGTGGCCCAAAAAGAAAGAAAAACCCAAAAAAAAGAAAAAGCTTTCATCATCCAACACTTTCACCATCACTCATACATAATCACTGTCTTTGCAGAGGTGCTCTGATACAACAGCTTAGACGTCCCTCCAAACTGCCAATATCCTAAATCCCTCCTTTAAAGTGCAGGCATTGTACTTCCCATTTCCAGGACTCAAGTCCAACTAACCGGTTTCCCTGAATCCCTTCACAAATTATTACCCTGCTCACACTCAAACAGCTTGTCAGGTCCCAAAAACCATTCATCTCCATTCACTCCCATCAAACACATTTCACGCACACTTGCTGGAAGTCCAAGCCCCTTGCCCACAAAACCTCCTTTACCCCATCCCTCCAACCTTTTTGGGGACAACCCCTACCCTGCTTTCTTCCCCAAACAGATATACACTCTCCAAGTCATTCTGCTTTGTTCCACTCTCTCCAAATAACCAAACCACCTCAACAGCCCCTCTTCAGCTTTCTGCCTAATTCTTTTAGTAACTCCACACTTCCTCTTGATGTCTACACTATGAATTCTCTGCATAATAGTATTTACACCACACATTGCCCTTAGACATGACATCACTGCCTCCAGCCGCCTCCCAGCTGCAGCATTTACAACCCATGCTTTACACCCATATAAGAGCGTTGGTACCACTATACTCTCGGACATTTCCTTATTTGTCTCCATGGATAATGTTCTTTGTCTCCACAGATACCTCAATGCACCACTCATCTTTTTTCCTTCATCAATTCTATGGCTTACTTCAGCCTTCATAAACCCATCCCCTGAGAAGTCAGCTCCCAAATATCTGAAAACAATCACTTCTTCCATACTCCCTCCCTCCAATGTGATATCTAATTTTTCTTATCTAAATTGTTTGATAACCTCATCACCTTACTCGTATCTAATTTGCCTGTGGTGTTTCTTTATAACTGAAGTGGCGTGTATAAATTTATAACAAGAAATCTTTCAATTTTGTTTTGGGTTTCTGTTACTAGAATTCACAATGTTATTTATGAGCTGAATTTAATTTTTGTAATCTTTAGTTTGTCTTTTACCAATGTTCCCAATTCTACTCTTCACAATATGAGTAGTAGTGTCACGGTCATCACACTGTACTGCTGCCGCTTTATTTTTCCCTTAGCTCTGGCCTTTGTGATAATACTGTTTTTGTTATTTTTTCAACATGTCGGTCATCTCCCACCGAGGTAGGGTGACCCAAAAAGAAAGAAAATCCCCAAAAAGAAAATACAGTGGTACCTCAAATATCGAACTGCTCCCAACTCATCCAATTATGTAAGTGTATTTTTGTAAGTGCTTTTATAAGTGTATTTTTGAGGATCTGAAATAAACTAATCTAATTTACATTATTCCTAAGAGGGAATAAATTCGTTCGTAACGGCACTCGAACAGCCGTCTGGAACAAAGAAAGTTCGATATTTGAGGTTCCACTGTACTTTCATCATCATTCAACACTTTCACCTCACTCATACATAATCACTGTCTTTGCAGAGGCACTCAGATACGACAGTTCAGAAAGAATACTGTATCCTACCTATATTTGCATATATTTTCATTAACATGCTCAATACTCTGCTTTTCTATTTTGTTTTCCATTTGATTTAGTTTTTATTAAATTTATTCTCCATTCATCTCCCTGAAAAATTAATTGATGGGTGGGATGAACTGTTATTCCGCAGATAAGCATTTTTTTCTTTTTCACATTTTTTCATGTGTATGTATGCACACATATTTACCCATACATATACATGTATATGAATGTATTCACAGTCCATATATGTAAGTATACTGACATTCAATACCACACATTATGAGCATTAGCTGGAAAAATACAGGAAAAAAAATAACTTGTGAAAACTGTAGGAGGAAGAAGTGGGGGGAAAAAGATTAAGATTAGCAATGAGCCCTGAGTGCTCTGAACATACACTCAATGCAGGATTAATAATACTATTTTATGAGAAGTGCTACACCTGTAGGGGTCATAAAATGCCTGAGGAATAGGAGGCAATCAAGTATGATCTAAGGAAAAGGGGCAGATCCATTACCTTGGATCAAGAGCCCTTCACTGGTATCAAAGGAAGAGAACTCATGTAAAAACAAAATTATTACTCAGGTTACACACACACACACATCCCAGCCATTTACACTCCTCTACAGACAGCAATATAGGATTTCTCCAATTACACTTGACATTATATGTAGAATTTACTTTCTCTCTCTACAATACACTAAATCCTCCATATAATAGATTAATGGGGAAGTGAATGGCCTGTAATGTCAATTGTAGTGGATAATGAGAGTAGACTGTTTTGTCGTGACTGTAACAATAAGGGACAATTCTGTAACCAACGAACTTTGTCCATTGTTTACAAATTGAATGATCCATCCTCTGATAGTCTACCTTGCTTTCATCACTCACTAGAAAGCCAATCATGCCTACATTTGAATTTTTCTCAATAATTCTTAGGTTATCCAAATACACTTACCATCTATATACTAATTCCTCTCTCAACCGTCAGTATTCATTTATTCACATTTACTCCGAATACAACTTCCCATGTTTGTGCATTTTTCTTTATCAATTTACAAGCATTAAACATATTTTTCTTCTGCACTTGACTTTCTACATAACCTAAACTCAGCACACACATACTTAATATTTTTATCAGTCACTACTTATGCAGCAATAACCCCATACATCAATCTGATTTCTTAGATTAAAACTTTGGCTGCAAAATCACTACCCAGTCACCCAATACTCAACATCCAACTCATTTGCTCACATTGTCTATGGAAATGTCTTATAAAAGAACCTCTACAAAGAAATACAAGTACAATAATATAATTTGCTTTTTATTTTATGAAACTTAAATTGTTTATTAATTACAGTACACAATTCTTTTTTATTGCTGTGACTTATTTTCACAGTAGAGAAATATTTTTACAGGAAAGATTAAACAGGCATCACAAAAACTGATAAATGGCAACATCCATTTACATAAATCAGAGATGAGTTTAATGCCCTGGGTACACACTTGGAACAAGCTATTTTCATATAGCTTTGAGGCATTCTTAAGTTTTAGTTTGATACTAGCAATTATTTTGTATCTTTTTATACAACAAAGTGAAAATTATATGTATAGTACATATACTGTATGTATAAAGATAGTCCTATAAAGCTTTATATCATTTATGTATGCAATAGAGTTTCTTTAATTTTAAACTGCAAAACATTAGTATTAGGGCCAATGATCTGTATGGCAGTAAAACATTACACATTGGAGCATACAACTGAGTGGTTGTACAATGTCACATGCCGGAGGTTGGTTACTCTGTCATGTAAGAGCAACACACAAATTATACTTGCCCACCCCCAATAAAATTAGTACAGTAGTGAACAAAGTCTGACTTGTAAACTTTTGATTGAAGCATGGTTTAATTTGTTTTAATTTAATGAACAGCAAACAATAATTATTCTAATACAGTATGTACTTATGATTAAAGGTAAAAGAATTAACCCTACTAGCAATATTAAATATCAAATACTATTTGTAAAAATACAGATAAGAAAATAACAAATATTAATACTGTAATCCTGTGTGCTAGGTAGATACATAGATACAGTGGAACCTCAGTACTTGAACAGTTCCCTACTCGAACAAAGCTCAGCATTTGACCAAACAAACACAACCTGCCAGAACTTCGCTAAAAACTATTTTGTGATTCTTCGCATTTTTTTTTTATTATTTGTATAAATAAGTCACCATGGGGCCTACAAAGATTAGTGATGACAGCCAACCAAAAAGAAAATGGGCTGGGAAGAATTTGTTCGATATTCGAATGGATCGGCACTCGAACAGCCTTCTGGAATTAATTATGAGTACG